ACTGGCCTGATTTCTGATTGGTTTTTTGCCCTATTTGAGAAATAGAAAACAAGTTTTACTTGTGTTTTTACAAGTATTTATGTATGTAGCAATTATAGAACTTCTGTGAATATTGTACAATATTATAGAACATTTCAAAGCCTTGCCTCTTTCAATTTATGTTGTTCCTAGTTTAGTTTATATTTTAAGTTCTTCAGAACAGAAATATCATTTCGCTTTACTTGAAATCTTTAAATCAAAGTGAAGATCATTAAATTTTCTTATTGAAGTAAATACAATCTAATAGGGAAGATTGGTTTAACAGTTTAGACTTCTTTTCACTTAAAAGAATTCTTAATTTACTGGCAGTGTACTTTTGTTTTAAAGGCCAGTGTTAAGTGTGAGCCTCAAATTTCTTAAATCAAATTTGTTAGATGACTTGAAGGCAAGAGAATCATTATATTGTCCTTGGTTGGTAATTCTAACTGAAAATATTTCATGCAAATATCTTGCCCTGCGAGGCTAGAAATTAGCCTTGAATTTTTGTTGATTTCAAAGTACAATATGAGTTTGACAAACTTTATATACCACTTATCCTGTTTTACAGTTTTTAAATTTCAATCTTCTTTACAGTGGTTTCCTCTTAGGAAGCATGCTTGGCGCTTGTTGTTTCAGATCTTTTTTCTACTTGCTTTTTGTTTTTTAATCAGCATGAAATGAACATGCATAATACATGAAAAAATCTTTACAGATATATTACTATATATTTTTATTTGTATTATTTGAGCTTAATAAGTATTTCCAGGATCTTTTTTTTTATTATTTGAAATGAAATATATTAAGTAGAAATCAGTTTCTTAACCCTGTGACTTTGTATTTTATTTTGACAATGTTGACGTGTTGAGGTGTATAATCGAATACCATAGAAACAAAATGGAGATTTGAGGGTGATGAATTGATAACTAGGTATTTTTGTAGTGAGATTTTAAGATCAGTTACTGTTGTCCTTATAAAAGTCTAATACAGTCACTCAGCTGTTAAAAACCTAATCCTCTATTTAAAAAAAATATACAAAAACAAATTGTCTATCTTTCTGCCTGATCTCTTCTCAAGTACTAACACAATGGAAACAGTGGGTGATCTGTCAGTGTGTTTGGTTTGTCAATGATGGTTTTGTATAAATATTGGGAGGGTAAGAAATAAAATTCACACAGTAAAATATGATTTCATCTGCCTTTTCTCTGCAGCTCCATGGCTCATGCTGCGGTGTGAAATTCTCATTTTACACACTTTGCAGGCGGAGCACATGAATTATGCATTGAGCAAGAAAAATCTCCTGCCTCAAGTCCTATATGCATTTACCCAGGTTCTGTCTCTATTACCAAGATGAATTGCAAATGGAGAAATGTTTGATGGAATAGGGCTCTTAACTTCTTTGTTTAGAATTCAGATTTTTATTTTTATAGTAGATCCTTTAAGTATGAAAATGTTTTGAACTTACTATGGATTTTTTAAAATGAAAAATGAAATATAAGAGAGGAATGCCAAACACATCACAAAGCTTTTTATAGCCTTGATTTGGAATGCAAGGCTTTTTCAATTCAGTAGAAATGACCGTTATCTATTGCTAATGTTGTATTTCAGTCACCGGTTATTTGCTGTTCTCAGAAAGTCAATGAAATTCTGTTCTTTTGAGAGCCTTTTTTCTTCCTGTTTTAGACTTCTAATAAGAGATTATGTCAATTTCACATGCAGCTCTGTCCTATGCTGTATGTGACCTGATGTGTACTTAATAGATACTGTTACACACTCTTTGCCGTGAAGTAGAAAATAAGGTATAGACTTGTTTCCAGTCTTAACTTTATCTTGATTTGATAGGTTTCTAATTTTTCAGGTAGTAAGGTTACAGTTCCATAAAGACAATCATGCACCATCGTGGATTATAGGAGAAGCTATACACATTGTACTCAGCATAGTATTTTGATAAGTCACATGGTGTTAAGCTCTTTTTGTTATGTTCTTTCTCCACAGGAATGATATTCTAGTTGAGATGGCATTTTCATTCTGAACCTGTTTTTGTTTATTTCCACTTTAAATTCCAGCTTCAAAACTAACATTTCTTCTGTTTTTTCCCCCAACCCTGGAAATTGTTATTCGTTTGAAGTGTGAAGGGAAGGACAAATATTTTTTGCCATTTTAAAAATAATGAGTGAAAATTAAAACCCATCTAGATAATTTAAAGTTTTCATTGGCAGAAATAATTATTCTCATAAAGGAAACCAGTGCTGATGTTTTTAGTTAGTGTTTTAATGTGTATTCTTGTCTGATACTTGAAAATAATTTGTTTCGAGTTTTGGCATAAGGAGAAAACTAGCATTGCTTAAGATCATTTTAAAATGTTACCTAACATACAGTTTGATGTATTGCACTGTGTAAGAGTTCTAGCATGGTATAGATGTTAAATGATGGTAGTGTACTTTTTGCTTTAGTGATACCTTTCTATGGTTGGAGGAATACTTCAAAAAACTTGTAGAGGAGCTTGAGTGGCTCAGTCGGTTAAGTGTCCCACTCTTGATTTCGGCTTAGGTCATGATCTCACAGTTGTGAGATCGAGCTCTCAGTAGGGCTCCATGCTCAGCTTAAGATTTTGTCTCTTTCTCCTTCTGCTCCTGCCCTGCCCTGCCCACGCCCTCTATCTCTCTCAAAAAAACAAAAAACAAAAAACTTCTAATAATTCATACAGATAAGCTGTAAACTCTTTTGTTAGATTATAAGTTACCTGGGGGTGCCTGGGTGGCACAGCTGGCTGAGCATCCGACTATTGATTTTGGCTCAGATCATGATCTTGCAGTTCATGAGTTCGTGCCCCACGTCGGGCTCTGTGCTGATGGCGCGGAGCCTGCTTGGGATTCTGTCTCTCCTTCTTTTGCCCCTCCCCACTTGTGCTCTCTCTCACTCTC